TTTTTTTTTAAGTGATTGCTCTGAGCCCAGGATGCCAATGAAAGGCAGAATAACTCAGGACAGCTGAGGGGATGGGGCTGGAACCTGGTTCCAAGCCTGCTGCGTGGTTGTCAGTTCTCTTAGGATGCAAATCAGTCTCCAGCCTGTTTGTTCTTCATCCTCCCCCTTTGATCTCTTTCCTCCTTCCTTACCTACCCATTGTCCATCCATATATCTGTCTGTCCTCTTGTGCATCCATCAGTCTGTCCACTCATCCACTCACTCCCCTCTCCCTTCATCCATCCACTCTTCCCTCCAATAGATGTTTGTTGGATGTGTCCTATGCATTGGACATAGAATATAAAGGGTCATGGAGCCAGCATCCTTTTTCACTGAGACAGCTCCTGGGACAGTAGAGAAGAATCAAGAAGGTCAATGTATAATTACAAATTTTGGGGCAAAGCCTCCAAAGGTGACACTATTTTACCATGGTAGTGTCTCGCAGAGGAATTTGGCCCACTCTCTGGATTGGAGGACAAGCAACAAAGAACAAATAAATGGTCCAGGAAGAGGGATCAACATGTGCAAAGGCCCTGTGGCTCATAACAGATGGTGTCAAGAGGTGGGAGTTGTCAGTGAAGACAATGAGAAGGATGATAGGCAGGTGCTTGGCGTCCCACAGGAACCAGCTCCTTTTCTCCACCTGGCTCAGCCTCACGCATTCTCTAGGTCTCAGTGCAGGTATTGCCTCTTCCAAAAGCCTTTTCTGCCCCAAGCAGTGTGAAAGGCTTATTCCTTTTCTTCTAATGAGAAGTATCCCAAGGTTGGAAATAAGCCAAAAGAAAGTGACATTTCCTTGGGCTGCTATACTGCATCATTATTTAAAAGAGCTATTAAGATTATTCATTCCTTCTAGGGATACACCTGAGCCTGTCTCTGCTACTTAGTAAGGCCCAGACTGTACACAGTTGTCATACATGCTAACATGCAGATTTGTCTGGTAGAGGCACCAGTGACTTTCATCTGGGCAAAAAGATAACTATAAAAGTGTGGTTTTATCACCTTTTAGGACATTAGTCAATTTTTATATCTAACCTAGACCTTTTATTCTTACCATCTTTAAAGTCTATAGACCTGCCTGGTCTAAGAACTGGTGCTGCCTGCCTGCTGGTCCCCTTCCTAGTGAGATTGCACTGCATGTTGGACAGCCTCTTGCTGCAGCTCTCTTTTCTACCCTGCGCTTGCCAGCTGTCCCTGCTTCGTAGTTCCCTATAAGCTCGTACAGGTGTGATCTACCTTTTGCCCATATCCTATTCTCAGAATTTTGCACAGGGTCAGGTTCCCAGTAAAAACCTGAAAAATTATTATTAGCTAAATGAGCATAATTCATCACTTCTGTGATCTTGTCTGTGAAATGGACATCACAGCACCAGTCTGCAAAGGATGTCAAAGCTCTGTGAAATAAACAATTCAAGGGGCCAGGATCCTACCTGGCATGTGGTGGATATAGCTTCACTTACCCCGGGGCCTGGATCTCAGATAGAACATGAAGTTCTGGGGCTCACGGTCCGGTGGGCAAGACACCAAGTCACAGGGGTGCGGCTCAATGCAGAGCCAGGGCAGATTCTACTGGTAATTGGTGGGACAGAAAGCCAAGACGTAGAGCCCCACTAGGGCCGGAGACCAACAGGTAATAGCCTCTAAAACATCAGGCAGAGGGCTGGGGAGATGGCTTAGCAGTTTAGGTGTCTGCCTGGCAAGCACAAGGAGCCGAGTTTGATCCCTGGTACTGCATGCTGTGCCAGCCCTGGAACTGCAGGTGTGCCATACAGGCCCCAAACCAGGCATGGCAGCACACACCTGTAATCCCAGCACTGGGGAGGGTGAGACAGGGGGATCACTATGAGTCCAAGCTGCATAATGAGACCCTGTACCAAATAAAAAACAAACAAATACATAAATCAGGCAGAGGTCTCAGGAAGAGGACCTGAAAATTGGGTAGGATGTTGACCCTCAAAATTGGTTAAGAGAGTGCTGTTTTAGGCCAGTGAGGGTTGGAGGGACTCAATGAAATGATTTCGCTGAGGAGAAGAGACCTAGTGCTATAGAGTTCCTGATAACCATGTAGGAGTGAACATGCACAGGATGTGAGAACGCCAGTGTGACTGTGTGTGACAGTATGAGCAAATGTGTGTCAATGTGAAGATAACAGTATGAATGCGCATGTGCACACACTGGTGGGTGTGCATGGGGCACCATCAGTGCCACACTGTTGCAGCAGGTATGAAGTCTTATTTAGTTTTCACGAGGCCCTGGAGGTGCAGGCCACTACTGTCCCCAATTCACATATGGGAAAACTGAGGCTCGGTGGTGAGGAGTTTGCGCAAGGTTGCAGGGCAAAGACTCTGGGCAGCTGCTTCCATGTGCAGTGAAGAAGGAGGCTCAGGGTTTAAGGTGAGTGAAAGGAGGGTTTGTTAAGGCAGTCTCAGAAGAAGGGATGACAGATAAATGGTTGTCCTTGGAGCTGTCCTTGCTCTTCCTGCCCAGCTGGGCACTTTTTGTTTACTGTTTCATGTGCTATTTTGGTTACTGGGATGCTATCTTTCAAATTAACTCAACTGCACTCCTTGGGCCCCTCCTCTGCACCAGACCCTGGGATGCGTTTGGGGTTTGGGTTCAAAAGATGAGGCATTAATACTGTTTTAAAGAAATTCTCAGATAGGAGCAGGCATCAAAGGTTGGGGAGGTGATGGGGGTAGCTATCATTTGAAGAGCTGGAGATAAAACTTGCACATGATATGTGTGCAGGCTGAAGAGGTTTTGCATGTGTAAACCTCAACGGACTGTCCCTCAGGCTGTCCGGGCCTCTTTCCAAGGATAGCCACTGCCTGACCTCTATCACCAACATTTTATACAAAAGCATTTTCAATGTCATAATTTTGCATTTGGAAAACAAGCCAAGACCCTGGGCAAATGCAGTGTGAAGTGACAGTAGGCACCAGGGCCCCCAGGAGTGACAAGCCAGGCCCCTGGGGCTCAGGAGCCTCGGCTGCCTGGTGACTGGGCTAACCTGCCATGGCCTCAGTGGTGAGACCTTGTGTTCTTCCCTGTCCTCCAGCAAAGTCCCATGCACACCAAGCCCTGAGTGTCTGCAACCCCTATTTCTCTGGGATCCCCAGTCCCCCATCATGCCCTTCCAACAGAGTGTTTTGGCAAGATGCTATGCCTCAGTATCCTTATTAAATGGGTGGTAATGAGTATGTATCTCATAGGGTAAGAGGATGGTGGGAGTGATATTGAGTAAGTTAATATTTGTACTGGGTTTAGGAGAGTGTCTGGCATATAATATGTGCTAACCTAAAAGTTAAGTGGAAGAAATCCATGTAGGTCCAATCTTGGCTACAGGAACACACTGGAGGACAGAGCCATTTGGTGTTCTCCCTGGGGAAAGTCTTCCCAGGCACTGTGTCAGGTGGGTGGGGACTCTGGGCGGAAGGACCCTTGGGCTGCTCCTCTTGCAGGGGGAGCTGGAGCCTCCTTCTCCGCTCCAAGCAAGTTGCCCAGTAAGTGCCAAGTGCTTGACTGATTTCCTGGTGGACAGAAGTGCCACTTGGCATCCATCAACTTTTCCTCACCTGCCAGCCTCCAGCCCTGGAGACTTAGACTGTGGAGAAGCTGCACGAAAGATATTCCCAGTCTCCTTGCCTAGACATGCAGCCCGTCATCCCCACTTCCCTGGAAATTCCAGCGCCTCCTTGTCCCCTGCCCTGGATTCATGCCTTGGACACCTCAACCTTGCAAGCAGCACATAGATTTCTCGGCCCAGGCTCTGAGGGAGGCACAGGCCGAGGGCGGGTGAAGGGCCAGCAGCCTGCTGAGTTCTTGGGCACAGCCAAGGTCCCAGCCTGTGAGGCAAGTGGACTGCCCGACATGTACTGGGGTGGGTGGTGATCTCCAGTGGACTGAATATATGTTGTAGCCTGTCTTAAGATTCACTGTGTGAGATGGGCCGGGTCAAGGTGCCAGAGCCTCAATGTTCCTTTCTGCATATGGGCACAAGCATAGCTATCCAGTATGAGGGAGGCTGTCAGCACAGTGCACTGGGGAAGTCAGGTCCCCACTCCAACCCAGGGAACTGACTCGTCTGTTTCCTCATATACAAAACATGGAGTGTGAGTGGTTGGGAGGGTAAAAGCAGTGAACAACTACAAAGTACCCATCGTAGCTCATAATAGCTACTGTTGAATCTACAGTCTGTTCCTATATGAGATGCATCAATCATTGACTCAGGTCAGGAATCTGGTACCAAAGTCAGGCAGCTGGGGTGTGAAGTCCAGTCATACCACATCACCCTGTGTGACTCTATGCCTTCTATGACCTCTCTGAGCCTTGTCTACAAAATGAGGCCAACAGCAGTACTGACCTCATAGAAATAAAGTTTAATGGCCTCCGGGTAAAGTGCTATCATACCAAGCACGTTAACATGAACTCCATATTAACACATCATTCCATTATCATTACTACCAGTAACACATTAGACCTGCAAGTGGTTGAGAAGGCAGGGGCTGCGGTGGCCACTTGCCCACGAGCCTCCAGGAGGGAGGGGCCACAGGCCTCTGCTCGGCAGGATGAGGCTTGGCGAGGGCCTGCCGAGTGGCATGCACAGGGCTTGGTGCTGGCAACCTCCTGGACACTCCCAGGAGCACTAGCAGGGCTTGAGCTGCCCCCATTGTGCAGATGGGCAGCTGAGTCTCAGGGAGGCAAGTTGTCCAAATTCCATAGCTATGAAGCAGAAGAGCCAGGATTCAGGCTCAGTGGTCTGTCTGGATGCCCGTCACAAGTCTACATGGGGAAACAAAGGGTTTATTCTTAAGAAGGAGCAGACCAAACGCTGCAGTATGATCCCTGGCCTGGGGCCACATCCAGTCCTTGCCTAGGTGCCCAGGACAGACAGCAGCCTCTAATGAGGCCCAAGGACAAAAATCCCAAAGAGAAGAACACATAGCATACAAGATATCATTATTACCCAGAAATCTTTATTACAAAAATATTTTGCAAGCCAAAAAGTTTAAGTTGCAACTATATACAAAATGGGGCCTGTTTCCTTCTCAACACTCTGAAAATAAACTCCCAAAACCACACTCCTTCCACAGGGCTGTTTCAACCTCTTCCATTTCCTGGAGCTCCACACACATGGCATGAGGACTCTCCAGGCTGCCCAGCCGAAGCTAAAGCCACACGCCCGCCTCACTGGCCTCATTCCCTCACCCCACCCCATTAAAATCAAACAAAATTGAAATGGCACCAAGAAAACATTCTTTCAAAATCCTGTATGTGTGTGTGTGTGTGTGTGTGCGTGCGCGCACAGACACACTTCTACACTCACATGTGCTCTCTTTGAGCAGCAAAGGGAGATGAAGGTTTAGAAGCCAACCCTTTGAAACTGAAAAACAGCTTGGGCAGGTGGCCGGGGCACTGTAGCTCCCAGATGCCATAGAGGAGCCCTGGCTTATTCAGCCAATGCTGCCCACATGGCCTGTTGGCTTGCCGCATTCCTGCATGCTGTCACATACAACATCAAGTCACTGACCACAGAGAGGTGCTGGTCTCTGCTCCCTCGCTGTACCTGCAGAAATAGGCAGGATGGCTCAGCTTCTTGCTTTGTCAGCCTGGGCCTCCTATAGCCCGGAGTTATGGACATTATTGTCTGGACTCAATGAAGACCCAATAACCAAGTTTGTAACATTGCCTGGTCCAGGGTCCAGGGTCCAGGCGGGCCCTTGCACCCAACTAGAAGGGGTCAGACAGTAATGTGGTCACAGCCTCTGCCCAGTCTGACAGACCAGCAGTGGCTCACAGTTGAGCTGTCTTGGCTGTGACCAGGATCTATTCCAGTTTCATCCCAATGGGGTTTGAGAAGTGGAAGATTAGCTCAGCGAGCTGGAAGGGGGCGATGGCTACAGGGGTGGGGCAAATGGCCCAGCTCAGTGTTGACCCCTCTGCATGTCCCTAAAGTGCTTGTGAGATGGTGGGGAGGGTGTCACTGTCCCTCTCCCCTCTGTATGGAAGAGCAGACTGAGGCATCAGATCTGGACGAGACTGTGGTGTGGAGAAGCACTGGGCAGGTGGAACGTACCACAGTGCCCTGCAACATGGCGGGGCCCAGACAGAAGGCTGAACTGAGTCCCAGGGAGAAGGCTCAATGACTGTCCCTGCCAAGTAGCTGAGAGACAGTTCTTTCCTGTGCTTAGGGCTCTGGGCCTTGGAGGAAACTCAGCTCTGGACGACAAACTGTTAAAACCTCAGACTTCACAAGACCCAACCAGAATTTCAAAACATGACAAAGAGCCAAGATAACATTGCTTTTGTTTTAAGAAAAAATAAAATGAAACAGAACAAAACAAAACACCACAGATCAAGTTTTCTAACACCTCGGCTTCAAGATTGCACAGTTCACATTTCTTGATAATTTACAGGCGTCCACGGCGATGCTGCTGAGTTAGTGCTAGCTGGAGGGAGCAAGCTTGGGTCTGGAAGGGAGAGGTAGGGCTACATGGAGTGCCCCATCAGCCTTGTCAGTGTCCCGGGAGTCCCAGAGGGGCCCAAGGTAGAGGGGCGCCAGGACCGTTGGCAGCAACCTCGCCAAGTTTTGGGACGCAGATCTCAGTTTTTCCAGCTTCTCCATGGATGGAGCAGTTCAATCTAAGAGGAAATTTTTTCCCAAAGCCCCAGGTGGATGGAGGAAGCAGGAGGAGGTGGACTCTTCTCTTCACCCTAGAGGATAGGGAGCCAGAGTATCGAGGAGGGAGCTCAGAGTCTCCAAGATCACAACCAGACTGGTGCCCGATGACCAGTGACACAAGTTCTTAGATCTCAGGCACCTCTGGTCGACTCCAGGCCACTTCCCTTACTGGTTTGGCCGCATCAACCTCCAGATGTGGGACAGAATTAGGGGGCAGGGCTGCCCTGGATGAGCTGAAGTGCCAAGGGTGGTGGCAGACAAGAGCCACCCTCACTCCTGGTTCCAGGGCCTGCACCACTTGGCCATCGAGAACTGGCTGGCTGTCTGTCTTCACTACAGCCCCTCCACATGGGACAAGAAAGCTTGTGAGGACAGGCCCGAGGCAGAGCAGTCCCACTCACTTCCTCTGGACCTGGACACTGGCATATTCTGAGAAGGATGGCTCAGGCTTGGGGGTCGACGGTTTGTGCGCCCGGTTGAGATGGACCATGTCCAGGTCAGCGTAGGTGAGGGTGTCCTCTGGCCGGGGTGGTGGGCCAGTCTGAATGCTGGCGTACTCTGTGTGGTTGTTGGACTCAGCAGCCCGGGGAGCAGGCTTCTTTTCCTTGGGCAGATTCAGATCTGCATATGTGATGTCATTGATGTCATTTGTGTCCTGGATCTAAAGGAGATGGAGAGAAAGCCATTCTGGAACCCTCCATCTGCTCACCCATCAATGGGGTATCAAGCCTGGGCTCGGCCGCAAATTAGGCTTCTTGTCTTGTCAGTTACCTGGCCTCAGCCCTACTTCCTCCTGATAGGCCTTTCTGAAAGGATAATGTGGTCACCTCACAGCCTACATCAGCAGCACCTCTAGGCGGGGATCACCCAGTTCTCATCTCCCTTTTCCCACACTTCTGTCTGGTGTCTGCCCTTCTTTCTCCTTATAATGAATTCTAAAGTGCATCGCAGTCCACATACTTCCATCCTAAAGATGTTCCCCTGCCCTCCCTGCCCTTTCTGCCTGTGGCTGGGCCCAGGCCCTAGGCTTCCTCCTCACAGCACCCACTGCCAATGTGACATCTGCTCAGGGGCCCGATCAGGGGAGGCCCCAGGCTTCCTCCTCACAGCACCCACTGCCAGGGTGATGTCTGTTCTGGGGCCTGGTAGGGGTGAGGCCTCATTCACTCATGTATTTATTCAACAATATTAACTAATAATTTGTTATGCTACAGACAGCGAGGCTGGCACAGAAGTGCCGCTCCTGTTGAAGGGATGAACAGATGGCTACCTGGCTGGTGGGGTTATGGGTGGATGGAAGATTGCAGAGGTGAACTGGAGGCACAGGCTCTGGGATCAAAAGGTCTGGGTTTGAATCCTGGTTGTTTTTTCTATATGAAGAACTTTGGGTAATTTATTTAATATTTCTAGACCTCAGTTTCCTTATGTGTAAAATAAGGAAAACTATAGTTTCTATCACCAGGGCGTTTACAAGGACCAAATGAAATCATCCAGGTAAACATTTAGAACAGAATCTGGCATGTAGTGATTCTGTTTCCTTCCTTCCTTCCTTCCTTCCTTCCTTCCCTCCCTCCCTCCCTCCCTTCTCTCCCCCCACCTCTTTTGCTTTCTTGTTCCTTCATTTGTTTTTTGAGGTAGGCTCTCACTATGTAGCCCAGGCTGGCCTAGAACTCATAGTCATCATCTTTCCTTGGCCTCCTGAGTACTGGGATTACAGACATGTCACCTTGATGGTGACGCTTTCAATAACAGTTTCCAGTCACCATCAACCACTTACCAAACCCGAATCCTTCCTACATACTCATCTTTGCACTGGCAACTGTGCCATGAACTTATGATGAATTACAGCCTCTGCTCCCCTGCTCTCAGCCTCTGCTCAGAAGCAGAGCAAGCCCCCCCCACCCCGCTCACTGTGCAGGAGGGCAGGTGCTCCTCCCAGCATTCAGGACTTGCCAGCCCCTCCTCATCACACAGGTCACTTCATTTAGGCCTCACTACAACCTTGCCTGGAAGAATTATTGAGCCTATTTTACGGGGGATGAATTCAGACCTGTGGCGGCTCCGTCATTCAAAGTCACCGAGCTGGAGAAGAACCCGTGTGTTGGGCCCTACAGCTGTGGTCTCCCACACCAAGGTCCCGAGCCACAGGTGCTCATGCACAGCTGCCCAGGAGGCCCAGGCAGACCCTGCTGGAGGCCCGCCTGTCACTGGGACCCGAGGCACAGCCCTGCTGCCCAGCACAAGTGGTCAGGACCATTCTGCTCCTGCTTTTAGTGGGAGCTCAGTAATTTTGGGATGTGGATTTGTATAGGTTGCAGTGCCCAGGTTGTCTCACCACCCTCACCCCTTCCCCAGAAGAAAGCCCCAAAATGATTGGGAGAAGGTCTCTCTCTCTGGCCTGATTGGAAAGCATTTTGTATTTGCTAATTATGACCCAAGCCGTGCCCAGGGCTGCAGTGGGTCAGGATGGCTGGCCAAGGTGTCTGGCCTATAAATGCCACCCCACCACCCTCCCAGCAGCCAGGCCCTTCACAGATTATGTCTAAAATGATGCCAACAGCCTGGGAATGTCAAGGACAGCTGGCACTCTCTCCGCCCAGGTCAGAGCAGGGCCTGTCTCATTACCAGGCGCTGAGAGGCCCTGCGCCTCCGAGGTCTGACGGCATCCGCTGGTGACAGGCAGGGCTCTTGTTTCTCAGAAACAGGCCAGCTATGTTGCCTATGCAGTCTCCTCTGCAATGTCGAGGAGAAATTGCTGGGTCAAGGGAGGGCTTCTGGGTGAGAGGTAATTAATGACACAAGGTCTTTCCATCAGCATAGGCAAGAGAGGCCCTGGAAGGTCCTGCTGTGCAACTCTTCTGGGAAGGACTGGCTGCAAGGAGAAGGCGGGAATGAGCTGTGCACTCCTGGTAGAGGAACCCGCCTGAACCAATGCCAGGAGGCGGAAGGAGCAATGCACGCGAGAAGAGGCCACAGCCAGACTTCATGGGACACGTGAAGAAGGGTGTCCTCTAGAGTTGTACCATGAATGGGCAGCAGAGAGCAAAGCAGGCTGCACCAGAACAGAGAGGGAATCAGCAGAGGACAGGGAAAAACTGACAAAAGTATGGATTTTCACCGCCCGCCCCCATCTTCCTCTCTAGGGACAGTCTTAATTTAGAACCTGATCTGCAACTCTGGTTGCTGCAGGGAAATCACGCCCTGACTTTCCCAGGCAGGCCAGCTCACCAAGGACTGTACCTGGGTGATTTCTCTGGCATTCTTCTCGGGCTCATGCAACCTAAAAAGGAAAGAGACACAGATAAAAATACCCGCACTATCTCAAGTGCTCATGCAAATCAATAAGAATAACATTTAGGTTCTACTTCCTATATGGGTAGAGATGCGGATGAATGATTCACAACAGAAATACAACTGCTTATCAAATGTTTGGACAAGGAGACCCACTGCACTAACAAGGGTTTTTTAAAACAATGCCCTGTTTTGTTGTTGTTGTCATCTTTTTTTTTAACCTGTGTTGGCCAGGAACTTTAAAATGGCAATGCTCAGAGCAGGTGGTGTGGGGAGGGTCTGCTAACAATGACGGGTGCTTTCATAATACCACTGCTGGAAGACACAAGCCAGGGCCATCCTTCAGGGAAGCAGCTGACAAAATCAAGACAATTTTTGATTCACAACTGCACTTTGTTGTGAATGCAATATAGACAATGCTTTCAAAAGATGGTCATCATGGTGCACACAGAGCCCGGGCAACTTAGTGAGACACTGTCACAAAATAACAAAGAGCTGGGGATGTGGCTCAAAGGAAAGGCCTTGGGTTCAATCCCCAGTACTACAGAACAAACAAACAAACAGACAAAGCCCAAAACATCTTTATGTACAAAGATGTGGCCTAAGCAGGAGTGGGGAGGGGGAGCTTTCAACCCTGAGTCTCTGCACATTAAGACCAGTTTAGGAAATTAAAAAAAAAAAAAAAAGAAACTTATAGATTAAGACCTCACGGGGCTGGGGAAATGGCTCAGTAGAATAAGCGCTTGCTTGGCAAGCGCAGGGCCCTGAGTTCAATCCCCAGTACCGCAAAAAATAAATAAATAAATAAATAAATAAATAAATAAATAAATAAATAGACAGACCTCAAAGATTCATGAGAGTTTTTTAAGTTATAGATGATTACCCTGAGATAATGGGTGAAAAGGCAAGTCCTGGTTATCTGTGGGCTAATCTCAGTGACGAAAAATGTGGGGTAAAACTGGAAGCAAAGAGCTAACAGCAGCAGTCTTTGTGGGGTATTTTTCTTCATTTTAGTTTCTACATTTTCCAAATGTTCTATATTATAAATATCTATGTATTACCATTTAAAAAAAGAAAAGAGAAAGACCAAGACATCCCAGTTAATCAAAAAAACTGTTCATGCCCTTGATTCTGTAATTGGAGGCTGTGGCAGGGCTGGCGGAAGGGTCACAGTCAAGGTGATGCACCCAGCAGAAGCCCCAGGTGGGCAGGGCTACGTGCATTCCCAAGCCAGTAATGCCGGGACGCCAGGCTGGGGCTGTGGGTGCTGAGCCATGGGGCCTGGTGGCAGGTTATCAGGAGAGCTGGCTTGAGTGTTTGGCCCAGAAGGCAGTTCTGGGGCACAGCAAACCCTAGGGGGCCACAGCTCTCCAGGACTGGGGACAGGCTGGTAGGGGAGGGTGCAGGTCTGTGCACCCCACTGGCTTCCAGGCCTTCTGCAGCTCCCCATGCCTGTTGACTCAGGCACCCGGGCCACCCTGCTCAGAAGTGCCATGTGTCCTGGTTATAGGCTGGGCTCACCCACCCCCAGCCTTGCTGAGCCACATGCCCACCCCCTGCTGTTTCAGCACTGCATGCTTAGGCAACAGCTCTGAAGGACCCATGGCCACTTTTTCTTAACCTCTGAGAATCCTTCAAGAACTAACCATGTTGTGGGCTCCTTGGGAAGGCTCCATCAACAGTGCTGGACAGGCCGGTTGCCCCTCTGTGATGAGCTCAAGGCTCCTAGCCCACTGTCCACTCTGTTGTGCATCACCATCTTCCCTCTTGCTGCCACGCATGTGCAGAGGCCTGGCAAGCAACCCAGAGTGAACACTGGCTGGGCTGCCCCAGAGCCTTTGCACAGGTAGCCCTCCTGCCCTTTTCTAAGGGAAAGCTTCCCTGAACCCTCAGACTCCACTGTAAGAGTGCTGGGTTTTTCTCTTTCAGACCTCGATTTCATCTAACCAATTATCTTCTTTTTTCCTGCCCATCTGTCCGTAGGCCTTTCTACTTCAGTGAGCGGCATTGCTATGGCTCATCCTGAGCTCAGGCTAACCGGGAAACCATCCCTGATACTTTTCTCTTTTTTCTTGCCCCAGGTCTAATCCACTCCATGGCTGGTTGGCTCCATCTCCCAAATCCATATATCAAATCCAACTGCCCCTTCATCTGCTGCATTTCCGCTTCCTGAAGTGTCCCCTCCATGCTTCCTGCCTCCATTCTGCACATTTAAAATGCATGGATGATGTCACATCTCCTCCGCCCCCCATCATAGTGAAATCCATCTCCTTCCTGCACTAAGCAGCAAGGAAGGCACGGCCAAGCTGCTCTGGATTCCCGCCTCCCTCCTTCCTTCCCTCCCTCCCTGCTCCTGCTACCTCAGCCTTACCTCTCTCTGCTCCTGTCCAAGTGTTCCTGCCACAGGGCCTTGGCACTGGCCACTTTCTGTCTGCCCTACTCTTGCCCCACACCTGAGCTGCTCCTTCTGCGGCCTCGTAATGTCACCTCTGAGAGGCCTTCCCGGGTCAGCCCCAAGCCCTACCCTCTGCTAACTCCTTCCCTGCCTTTCCTTATCTTGTCAGTCATGCAGTGCACTCTTGTACTTTTTTTTTTTTTTTTTTGCGGAACCAGGGATTGAACTCAGATCCTTGCGTTTGCCAGTCAAGCGTTTATCCTGCTGAGCCATCTCCCTGGCCATGCAGTGCACTCTTTACTAAGCTTCTGGTGAGCTAATCGGCCTCCCTGAGGGGCAGCAAAGTCTTTGTCAGGAGGGTGAGGCCTGCTTTGTTCCCTTCTGAAACCCCAACTCCTAGCACTGGGCAGGCACAAGCTCAGCATGCTGCAAAGATTTGCTGAATGAATGAATGAGCTCTTCTCCTATCAGACCTCAAGTGGTAGAGGACCAGGCTTAGCATCTTTTCTGTTTCCCTTTCGGTCCCCCAGCTCAAGCTTGGCACCAAGCTGGGCTCAATCCAGATGGATAAATGAGAGAATCACGGAAGCTCAAGAATAAATGAAGTGCATGTTCGACAAAGGAACAAATGGCCGGCGGATGAACCCCAGTGCCCAATTAAGGGAGCAGAGCACAGCAGCCCTCTCCTGTCTGAGCCAGGATGTGACAGGCGAACTTGGGCCTGCGCAATTTTAACCCAAGGACTCAGCAACAGCAGGTGCCTCATGCCTCACGGCCTGCAACCTGAAGGGCCCTTTGAGCTCAAAGCAGTGATCTCCTCCTCACACCCTCCCGGAGGGGAAAGCATCTGATCCCAGCGAGCAGAGCTGGCTGCATTGAATGGGCAATGGCCACTGCCGCGCGCTGGCAGCCATCACTTTGGTTTAGAGAGAGATGAAAGGAGCAAGTGATCTCATGGCTCCCTGGGCAGCACACGATGGAGAAACACGAGACGGGCAGAAAATGGTCTGATCCTTTGGAGAAGAAGGGAAGCAGCAGGGGGAGGAGGACCCAGGATGGGAATTACCATGTCGGTGGGAATCGCTGCTGGAGCCTGGTCCCAGCGCCCCCACTGTGGGCCCTGGGCACAAACATCCTAAGATTCCTCTAAGCTTCAGAAGCCTCAAGCATATGATCAAGGTTCTCTAAGCATGGCTCGGGACAGCAGCACCAACACTTGAAGAACTTGCTGGACATACACATTCTGAGTCAGGGAACGTGGGGTGCAGCCTGTGGGATTCTGCTACATGCACAAGTGCAGGCCGCATGGCCCTATGACAGACAGATGGCAAAAAGCTCTGAGGGTTTGGAGAAAATAAAAATCACAAACAGGATCATATGTGTAGAGGGCCAGGTCGGTAAGCAGGGTTAAGTGTTGGATGAATGGTAGATGCAACTGCTGTTGTGGTCATTGTCACTGATGCCGATATTGTCCTTTTCTTGCAGAACTTGATGGTATAAAATAAGGACTAAGTAAAACAACGAAACAGGAGAGAGAATAGAGGGGGGAGGGGGATAGGAGGAGGAGGGGGAGGGGGAGGAGGAAAAGGAAGAGGAGGAGGAAGAGGAAGAGGAGGAGGAGGAGGATGATGAGGAGGAAGAGGAAGAGGAGGAGGAGGAGGAGGAGGAGGAGGAGGAGGAGGCAGCAGCGGCGTGTTTCTGGGGATTCAGAGGGCAGGTCTCAGTGGAGCTCTCAGTGGTGGGGGATGGTGCTTATCTCTTTTTTTTTTTAAATTTTGTTTATTTATTTTTTTTTTGTGTGTGTGGCCAGCTCAGCCCACCTGGGGGCTGGGCTGGCTGGCATGTGGTGCTGGGGGATCGAACCGCAGTCCCTGTGCTTTGCTAAGCTTGTTCTAAGTAGGTGCTTTAGACCACTGAGCCATCTCACCAGCCCCATGGTGCTTATCTCTTGGTTCACTGGCTCCTTTAACAAACCTCTGTGGAGCCCCCACCCCACTCCAGGGATGGGGTCATATGAGGCGCTATTAGCTGTGAGCTTGCCCAACATGGTCCCTGTCCTGAAGAAGGGTGTTATGAAATGAGGACAGGTGAAGAGGCACCTTGAGCACACCAGCATGGGCTCACAGGAAGCCCCTGGGACTGGAAGTCATGTCCTCAAAGACTCAGAAAGGACAGGAGGTGACCAGGTGAGAGGACACAACTCCAGGGGTGTGTGTGTATATGTGTGTGTGTGTGTGCGTGTGTGTGTGCGTGCATACGCACATGTATATGTAGCTACTGAAGGTTCTTTAAGACAGAGGTGCCCAAAGCTTGTTAACTCTGCCTTCATTTCATTATCTGTCTCTTTTACTACCTTAAACTTTGGGTCAGAACCCTGCTCAGCTCTGCACTTAAGCATGTTAATCACTTAAGGAGAGTGTGCATAATGGGCTTCTTAGCTCTCAGTTTACCTAACTGATCTCATCCCTCTTCAAGACTTAGGACACAGTGATATGACCCATAAGGGCTTCTCTAGGGCCACCTTGCAGAACCAGCCCTGAGGTGATGAGCAAGCAGACCCCAGCCCACACAACTGCCCCAGCTGGCACCTTTCCTTTGCTAAGGAGCCAGCCTGATCCAGCCTGACCAACAACAGAGCTGAGCACCTTTCAGCTCTTCACCTCAGGCTGAAGACCTTCCCATTTTCTCTTCCTTCTCAAAGCTTATGCCTGTGGGTTCATGCTCTTTGGCTCCGGCTTAATTTCTATTGTCACTGAGATACAAGTTCCTTTGTGTATGCCACCACCCTGAGCCGTGACCAGGGTTCATCCATCACCGAGCACTGCCCAGTCCACACTGTGCCCAGGTATTCAATAGTTAAGGAAGGGAGGGAGGGAAGGAGGGAGGGAGGGACCAGGGAGGGGGAAGCGGGAGGCAGGAAGGAGTGTGCAACCTGGGTCTGGGGGGTGAGTCTGTAGTGGATGCAGGATGCCTGTGATGGCAGGAGGCTTACAGATTTCTCCCTGTCCACAATGGATTAGATAAGGCCTCTCTGTCTGTGGATAGCAGCCGAGCAAAGTGTACCACAGGACATGGAAACCCACTCGGGAGCACCCACTGGGCAGCAGCAACTAGGAACAGGCCCGGTGTGAGCAGGTTATAAGAAACAAACAGGAACATCCACAGGCACAAGAGTGAGGGTCAGTGGTGTTGTTCGGAGCTGCCACACACCAAATAATAACTGCGAAAGTGTCCCCGCCCAGTGACGCACTTACCTTGTAGAAGAAGTGGACCCCTTAGCTGAAAAGGAAAGGAAATAAAAGCCAGTTATTTAACAAGAAACATATTTTTTCTTATTTAAGTATTTTATGGGGGTGGGGGAAAGGTTTGCCACCAGGAGGAATTATTGAACTCTTTTTTTTTTGGGGGGGGGGACTGGGGATTGAACTCAGGACCTTGTACTTTCTAGGCGGGTGCTTATGCCACTGAACTATATCCCCAGTCCTGTATCACCAAAATCTTACATTGAGAATTTCAGGGTACCTCATGTCCAGCCAAGTGGATGATGTCCTGGGTGATCCATTACCTTCCACAGGAACCCATGGGGAGCAAGCCAGGCCTTCCCGCCTCACTTCTGGGAGATTCCAAGGGTCATGGAAGCTGGGGGGAGATCAGACGCCCTCCCTCTGTGGCCCAACACACCCGCTGCATGCCCCTAGGTGGGTCGCTTCCTCTGAGCTTTTGCAACTCTCAGGGTTGGCTCGGACACACATTTATTTATGTGTTACAGCAGTGCTTTCCAAGAAGGAAAGCATGCCTGTCTGCTTCAGAGGTCTGACACCTGTGATACAGGAGCCCCATGGAGAAGCCTCTGGGGCTCAGCAGCCATCTGACTCCCATTTTGCTATAAAATTGTAATTAAAAAACAGCATGCACAACCAAATGTGCTGGTGCTGCGGGTACACAGACTGCAAGTCGCCACAGTGTGGGCACTCACTGCCTACTAGGCAGGCTGGGCCCAGGCGGGGGCTCCTTCTGAGGTGAACAGCACAGTGGCTTTGGCATCTCATGGCTGAATGGAGGCCCAGGGATCTGGGTGCTGGCACGAGATGTCATGGGGATCAAGTGACTGGACCATGAATGCTCTTGGATGACTCCAGTCTACAGGTTGAAATGGGGACATTCACTGGGGCACTAATGGGTGGAGAAGTGGTGGTCTTCCAGAGCCCATGAAGGACAAGGAGGACTCCTCAGGGTGGAGGGATGGCATGTACAGTGGCCCTAGACAGTCCTTGGCTTCAAGTCCTTCCCCTACTATCCGGCTGTGAGGCTCTGAGCAAGCCTTTTAACATGCCCATGCCCATGTCATTTGTAAAATGGGTTGGTGACACTGCCCCTAGGGTCTGTGATACGATCTGCGCCATTCCTGCAAGGCATAGGAGCAGCACACACATGTGGGAATGGCAGGGTGGGTGAAGAGACAGAACCACAGACCAGCACCAGATCCCCCCAGTCAGGGGTTAGGGGGTCTCTGCTGCATCTGCAGATCTCCAGACCTTTTCCTTCTCAGTAACACAGACCTGACCCCACAGTGGTGAGCTCACACGTGCCAGACTGGGGCATGGCATCTGGGGCTGAGCCTCAGAAAGGAGGGATGGGATCGCACCAAGGTGCATCACACCAACTGCAGGAGCTGACATTCTCTGAGCACTCACAGGCCAGGCCCTGCCCTAACCTTTCATTTATGGTATCCATGCAGCCTGTACTGGATAGTAGGTGGGACTAAATTAGTCCTTTCCCTCCTAGTCCTTTAGCCAGGCTGAGATATGGAAGAAGAAAGCAGAAGCCTACTAGGCGGCTGGAAGACTGCTCCTCCTTGAAGCCCATAATAGAAGCTCCAAGTCCCCTCTTCCCACCATGGCAACTCCCCTCTTTCCACTTCCGTGTTCTGCCTCAGTAGTGTTCTTAGGAAGATCTGAGGCCTGGAGCTCATGGTTGTGACAGCGATTCTGCAACCATGAGGGCGACACCACTGTGGACCCTCCCCAGTTCAATGGCCCACCTGGTCACTAGCCCAGCACTGCTGCTTCTGTTCTTCTTACCAATATAAGTCACTGCCGCCCAAAGCACTTAGTGGGTGCCCCCTCTGGGAAGGACAACCCAGGAGCAAAGCTTAGGGAGGAAGAGGGAGCCTACCCACCTTTCTTCTGTCTGATTCGGAGGAGGTAGAGGGTCGCCATCAGCAGGACTACCAGCAAGGCACAGACCACACCCACCACGATAAAGATGTTCCAGTTGTCAGCAGTTGTTGCTGCATGGAAGAGAAGCTTCACGTAGGTAGATCAAAAGGGAAAAAGAAAAGCCCACTGCCTCTCCACCCCGCTATGCTGGCACCATGCATGGAGAACATCTGGCTGGGCTTTCTCAGATGTCTCCAGCCACATGAGCACGCAGAAGGTGTACACACAGCCGCCCAGAAGGGTCCTTTAGGAGGGGTACAAACACCAAGCTGGGGGCCAGGAGGGAAGATGCTGCTTCTGACAAGTACAGATGACACCAGCTACAGGGTGAGTGCAGTGGCCTGATTCCCGAGGAACCGAAGCACGCTCCTTCTCATCTGGAATGACCAGAGTGGCCACAGCAGCAGCATAGACCCATCTCAGACACTTGGTCAGCAGCTGCCTGTCAAGCAAGGCACGAGGGTCAGGGGACAGGACAGAAGAAGCATGGACAGGCCAGCTGGCTAGGGGTCACTGTAGAGGCCCAGGGGCTGACCATATATCTGTGCTCGGAACCTGGCCCACAGCCTAGGAGCTCAGCATCAGGACACATAAGGACATAGCAGCTTGGGGACACAGGGCACAGGCTGAAGGGCCTAGAGCACTGTGGTTAGTCAGGGACGGGGCTATACAACACAACACGTAGGTTCAAATCAGTGCCTTAAGTAGACACAACCTGGGGCAAAGCAGCTGAGCCCTCTCCCTGCTGGCTGCTTCTGCTGCTCCCAAGGCCAATGACAATCTACATCATTGGCTAACTCTGAGGCTACCTAAGTAGTCAACTACCCAACTGACACCTCCAGCCTTTCTACAGGTCCCTGCTGAGTGCCCACTGTGCACTCTGAAGCTATGATGCTGAACAAGACAATTACAGTCACTTCCAGCTGAGACTCAGTGCTGACAGATCCCAAAGTTCATGACCAACATAGCTACGAGCAAGCAGAGGCTTAGAGAGAGACACTGACTTGTCTAAGGTCACAAAACAAGTTTACGAAAGAACCAGAGCAGAAGGTCCTATATTTTGTGAAAACTGGGCATAAGCATAATCAAAAGGGCGCTATGACACAGCCCTGGGACTCTGTCTTTTGAGGATTCCCTGAAGGATACAAGATGAAATGGCCCCATTGTAATGCATACAAAGGTTCTGGGGATGGGACACTCCATGGGCACTGAAAGGCCACCAAGGTTCAGCTATTTTCAACAAAGATCTGTACATTGGTCACACACTGGAAGGGGCTCAGAATCACTGCCTGGACATCCTGAACCATTTCCACTCTCTGGAAGAGTGGAAATAGGACCTTTGTCCTTAACAACTGTACCCATGTCCTTGAAACACTCCTCAGGCGACTGTCCCAGGAAACAGCTACACATGGCAGAATATGTGCAAGGACGTTCCCTGTAGCATCAACTGTCCCTGAGCCCAACCACAAACATTCTGAACACCCACCAGGCACACACATCAGCCAGGGACACCAACCAGCAGACTCTGAAGGAGCAAGGGGATGGGGACACAGGAACAAGAACATAACACCTGTTATATGGGGAAGGCAGCAGGCAGGGGACCAGGAGAGGATGGCCTCTCACTCGTTTTCTTCTTGCTTAATATCTATTTCGGTCAAAAAAATCCACTGAGATATACATCAAAGTCTATTAAGTAGTGACTCTTGGAATATAGATTTGGGCAAGGGAAGCTGAAGTGAGAGTTCTACTTTATGTTTATAGACTTCTATATTGTTCTATATGAAGTATGAATACTACTTTAAACATTTTTTGAAATTAAGATAAAATTTAAAAATAGCTAGTCAGCTGGAGAGGTAGCCTCACCAGGGGTGGTATCGATGCCCTCCTTTTTCGGGGGGACAGAGACCTGCACGGTCAGGTTTCTGGTGACAGCTGGCTGCCCATCGTGCTCCACCTGGCAGGTGAGCACCACGTTCTCCCTGTGAGCAGATGAATTCACCAAGATCCAGCTTGTCCAGTCGTAGGTCCCATCCTTGTTCTCGGTGACGTTCGAGGGTGTTTCCATACGGGACACATTTCCATTCTCCAACCAGGTCAGGTTCAGGGGCCTTTGGGGATAGAACGTCTTCACCTGGCAGGTGACGTTCACCTGGTTCTCTGTCATTGTGGGCTGCTGAGTGACCTCCACGGTGGGCAGAACTGAAACAGCACAGGCAGAAGCTCTGACTGTATGGCATGGACAGGTCACAGAGGACCTGCACAGGTCCCTCCAGTGCAGCCAGGGACCCACTAGGACAGTGCTAGGCATGCAGCAGGGGCTGTAACACTTAGGGTTTGCACATAAATGAAATCACTATTCACAGCATCCAGCACACAGTAGGTGCTCAGGAATGGTGGCTTCTCATAGGACAATAATGAGTGAAATAAACAAGTGTAACCCCTGGCAGGAAGTTAGAATGCAGTAACTGGAGCAGAATAAATGTAATCACTGGGCACATGGGCATTGATCATAGTAGGTGCCTGGAAATAGTAGTTACTGTTGGTAAAACAAAAGCAACTACCAGCATGGTGCACATCACAGGGTAAGCGTCCACATGCACACAGTAGGTGGCCTGCTGGGAATGAGATTCCAGGCCATTGGGCCTAGGTACAAAAACCAGCAGGGAGGATCATGCTTGGTGGGCAGGAGTGGGGTCAGGGTCAGGGTCATCTACCTCGGATGCTGGCTGATATGTTGGCAATCCCACGTAGGCCCCTCTCCAAGGTGACATGTCCCACCTCACAGATGACCTGTGAGCGAACATCCCCGGGGGCCAGCTCCACCTTGGCTGTGCTAGAGACGTTGTAGGAGACGCTTTCTCCCGTGGGATCCACGCTGATATGGGAGGCAAGGAGTTCATTCCCATTTTTGAACCACTTCAGGGTGATCTCTCGGGGGGAGAAGCCATAGGACTCGCAGGTGAAGCTCACCGTCTGTCCAGAGGTGGCCCTCGACACAGGGCCCGACACCACAGGGAGAGAGGGCTTGGCTACAAAGGAGCATTTACAGACAAGAAACATGATTGCAGTGACCACCACCGATGGCAAGTGAGCGACGCTGTAAGGGACTTTCCTAGGCACTGTCATGGGGGATCAGGTGCTGGGCTGAGGCCAGGCCCTGTGCACATTGAGTACACTGAGTGACACCCCCAGCCACAGACATCTGTGACCCCCCTAAGAAAGCTGTGGGGCAATATCCTTAGCCTCTGGCTTCGGCCTTAGGGTAGTATATCTGCTCAGCCAGGAAGTGAGAAAGGGTGAAACCCAGGTGAAACCCTGGGTTGAGGTCAAAGTTCCTCTTTCTCTACCAGGAAGTTTCCAGCAATCTGGCCACGGGGGGGGGGGGGGGGGGGGGATCACGGACAGGGCTAACCCTTTGCGTTGCTACCTGCCAGCCTGCCCAGAAAACCCTGCTACCTGCCAGCTCCCCTGAAAACCCAAGCATTCATAGAGGGTAATATAGTGGACGAAAGGCACTATGGCACGCATGCCCATATAAACTTGAATCTGGTGGGGGCTATATCAGAGATGTGGTGAGTACATCCTAGAGCTCTATCTGTGACAAGAGACAGCTTCAGTTCTCCTTCCTGTTGGTCGTGAGGGTGAAATGGTGCCCTGAAATCATTTTGCTTTGGACAAACCCAGGAGATGCTACCGAAAAACGAACACACACAGATGTATATTTAACCAGACTTTATTCCCATCGAAAGTTCTCCCTGTAGGTACTTAGGCATTTACTCTGTACTTTCCTTCTTTCCATAAATATGCCAGTAGGTCTGTCCTATTCTAAGCTCTGAATTTGAAAGGGAGAGGCTAAAAGGATATTTGCCCGAATCTAGGATCTTTTGTTGGGTCAGTCTGAAGTTGGTAACAGATCACCCAGTACACAGAAAGCCAAAGGGGCTAAGGTCTCAGTTGCTAATTAATTACAAGAGATACAGACACAGGTGTACTGAGCAGGCAGCTCTCCCTGCTCCTGAAAGCACGCAAAATGAGTGAAGGCAGTTTGCCCTGTATAGGTCCTAATGGGTGTCTTCAAATTGCTAATTATTACCCAGAACTATCTATAAAAGTCACAAGGCAGCAAATATCACACATATTTCCATTTGTAAATATTTAACTTGCTCCCTAACATCCACCAAACATAGTAAGATTGAGTATGTGTCCCTTGAATAAGTCAAGCCATCAGGACACCAGTAGCCCACAAGACCCTAAATGGGCTGGTGACTGCAGACCGGCCCTTCGTATGAGGGGTCTCCTAGCTTTAGATCAAATGAACTGCTGACAGAATATACATTTTTAAAAATTGTATCTGTACTGAAAATGAACAGATCTTCTTGTCATTACTCCCTAAATAACACAGTGTAACAACTATTTAGATAGCACTTGCATTGTATTAGTTACCGTATGGATAAGCAACCTAGAGAGGATTTAAAGTACATGTGAGGGTGCTCGTGGGTCATAAGTTAAGACCACACTACTTCATGTGAAGGAGTGAGCAGCTTTGGGTTTGGTGTCCTTGCGCTCCTTGGACCAACCCCCACAGAACTGAGGGCCACATGCAGTCACCAGTTATGGAGTTCCAGGGAGCCTGGCACTGGTGCCCCCTCTGTTATCATCAGTCCCCTGAGGGGGTCCGAGGTGAGCCCTGTTATGGGACAAAGCTCAGAGAAGAGTGTGGCCAGCCAAGGACACACAGGATGAGGACAGGAATAAAGAGCTGGGCTCATCTCACCTGAGAGAAGCGGTCTAACTTACTACCTGTCCTTTATCTTAGCCTCAGTGTCACCTTCTGTACCAAGTGAATGAGAACACCACCCACCCTGGCAAAATGAGGACGAATGTACAACCCAGTGCCAGCACAAAATAAGTGCTCAACAAATAACACTTATCACTGATATCATTACTATTTTTTTAAAAAAATAAACCTTTTATTCTTTAGGCCGACAGAAAACACAACAAAAGTATGGCAACACCAGGAAATTCTCAGACCTGTTCCTGCAGCTGCCATGAAAAACCTGACTGAAATAAGAACAGAAACCACCAAATTCTGACTCTTTCTCTGTCTTTATAACAATCACCTCAAGATGAGGTTGGTAAAAGGGCTTCTGAAACATGGACAAGATCCAGGCACGTCCTCCAGTGCAGCTGTTTACAGAAAGCTGAAAGCTCTGCAAAGGGAGGATAAATTCCTCAGTGACATTCTGGGTCACTCGAGTTCCACCACGAAAGAGTTCTGTGCTGAAAATCAAGGGTTCGCCAGGCTCCAGCGCCTGTCCAGACACAAACACGCATAAGAGGCAGGTCGCACATGGAAGCTGGCATCTGAGCAGTCTCTGTCTGGGGGCTCTCAGGGTTTCTCAGTGGCCCTACCACTGTGCCCTGAGAGATGTCCCTGTCCTGCCACATGGGCCGGTCGCGTTGCTGAGCCTGGTCTGTTCTAACCTGAAGCATCTCACACCCCAGCTCCATGGGGAGTGACTTTTGCCAAAGGAAAGAAAGCTCAACTCTTCGTCCATGGCCTCAGGAATCAGCTGCCAGAGCAGGAGCTGAGCCACCTATTAGCTGCGACTGCCTACACACAAGACACAGCATGTGGATTTGTGACACCTCCAGGGTCAAGATGAAGCCACCATCCTCACCCAGGTAGAGGAGTTGTGAGGAGACTTGACTGCTAGCACATTCAGGAAGGAAAACAGTCAATACCCACAGGCATTAGGGACACTGACTCTGACCTCACAGGCCTCTTCTGGGGGTCTCCCTCTCATGCAGCATGATGGATATACAAATCATCACGATAGCGCTGCTGTAACAGCACACATTCGTATCAACTTGAACGTCCACCTACAGAAGACTGTCGAATGTACCCTGATATTTGCAGACACTGCAGCATAATGCGGCTGTTAATGCACGGCTCTATGTAACCATGTGAATCTCAGGAAGGGCTGACCTGTACAAAAGAAGCTTTCCAACCACCAACGAGCCATGGTCTCTGAATGTCTGTGGCCAGCTGAACCTTTCAGAAACCAATGAAGAACACAAATTCTGGCTCCCTGCTCAGTGGTTCAGGTCAAAGAACTTCTATTCAGCATCTACTGTGTATTTGGCTCCTCTGTGGAGCAAATATCTAGCATTGGGGCAGCAAGAGGCCTGACCTGGACTCAGGTCTGTGCTCTGTTCCCTATCTGGGGACTAATTCGCCACATCTGGGCCTGAGACGCCCATCTGTTAATGGGTGAGTTAAATGGTCTAAAGGTCTTTGTGACAAATCTCCACACTGATTTCCATAGTTGTTGTACCAGTCTATACTCCCAGCAACAGTAGAGAAGGGTTCGTTTTTCCCACAGCTCCATCAACATTTGTTATTTATTTTATTTTATTATTTTTTTTTTTAATGCTGATAGCTGTTCCTTCTGGGGTGAGACGGAATCTCAGTGCTGTTTACTTTGCATTTCTTGGATAACCATTTGACCCAGCTATTCCTCTTCTGGGTACTTCACCAGAAGAATTAAAAACCACAACAATATATGTGCACTCAAGTTTATAGCAGCACAATTTGTCATAGCTAAATCTTGGAAATGACCCAGATGCCCATCAACTGAAGAACAGATAAAAGATGTGGCTTTTATACAATGGAATACTACTCAGCTATAAAGAAAGATAAATCCAAGGTTTTTGTAGGTGACTGAATGTAACTAGAGACCATACTCAGTGAAGTAAGTCAGATGTGCATGTGTAAACAATGTATTGTCTCCCTAGTGTAAGAAACTGAAAGAATAAATAAGATCCAAAATGTACAATAGACATTTGTGAAAGGCAAAAAAGCTGCTAAAAAGGAAAGAACAACTGGGATGGGAGAAAGGAGAAAAGAAGGACAGCTAATATCTATGCTACTAATTTCTATTAATTCACTAAAAGGAACAGTTAAGTGATCAATCATACATGACTGTATCTGGTAATCTGAGCAACTACTTTGAAAATAACAATATGCAATAAACACTGTTAATTTCCCATCACCTTGTTTTGAAATTCTGTTTTTTTTTTTTTTTATTGTCTTTAAAATGTAAAAAGGTCTTTGTTGCTGATAGTCCTCTAATCAGGCGCTAGAAAAAGGTCACTGGGCCTGTGGACGGAAACCTAAAATGAGCATTTTTGCTGCCTCAACCAAGAAGCTCCTACATTACCCACACAGGGACTCTCCTCCGAGTAGAGGACCCACAGCATCAGTGCCTGTGACAGCCGGTGCCCAATACATAGGTTTTGCAGGAAAACCCAGGGCAAAGGGCCAGCCTCTCAGCAGCTCCTCTGGCCAGGGCATCAGACCCCACAGGGAGCCTGAGCCTGTCAAGATCTTCTCACAGAGCTGTTTCATCACAGGAAACAAGGAAAACAGGTCTGTCCCTTTCCCACCTGGGCAGACTGGGCCTCAAAGAAGGAGAACATAAGCTTGGTGGCGAGAAAGCTTCAGCCAGGCGGCTCCCTGCTGTTTTCCATGATGTCCAGAACCTGCATGAAGCAGGCCTTAGTGCTGTGGCATAGAGAGCACTCCCGCACCTGGGGAAGGCACCCTCTCGGGCAGCAGGTGAGGCCTGACCCTGCAACTGGGCATGTCACTCAAAGGACTGGGGGACAGCAGAAAGGCAAGGTCTATGGAGCAGACACATGAGATGCAGAAGGCCCCCATTTATGAGCCACATGAAGCAAATGGTGTGGCCTCTGCAGACCTCAGTTTCCCTGATCTGCAGAAGAGGCGACACTAGATCATAAACATGAGCACCCAGCACCCTGCCTGCTTCTTAGCTGGTGCTCAGAGGATGGAGAGTGTGATGACTCCTGACCTACTGTCACACAGAGGGCTGAGGGCTGTACACAGGCGGTACTCACCACGCACAGACAACTTGGTGCCTCCTCCAGACTGAAACTCCTTATCCTGATTGGCTGTTTTCTGAAACTTCACACAGTAGTAGGTGCCAGCATCTTCTGGGGTGACGTTCCTGATGTGGATGGAAAAGTCCTTGTTGTTTCTCACTGTGGTGTCTGATACATTTGTGACTCGGGGGAAGTGGCCTCCTTTGAAATTGTAGACTAACTCCTGGCTTTGTCCTTGCCCCTTGTACCACAGGATGGGTCCCACAGGGTACAGGGAGGTCACAGTGCACTGCAGAAGGGCCTTCTCTCCAGCAGCGACTAACACTGGCTTCTCAGGCTGAATCACCTTCAGAGCCTCTTCTGTGGCTGCTTCTGGGGGGAGACACAGAGCAGTCAGTCGTCACCCTGAAGCCCCGAGTGCTTACCATGCGTCTATCAGCAGTGAGTTTCTCTGAGTGCACAGCCCTGGAGTTCAGCACACTACATGTAGCATCAACTGCGCCCTCCTCAGGTCCTGCACCTCAAGACTCTAGTATCAGCGTGGAAGCTGAGGCAGAGAAGTCAGTCCACGCAAGAGTGGGAATTTGCCTGCCTGAGCCCTCTGTGGAGGAGTGCTGTCTGACCTGGGCTCTGGAATCCAAATCTGCATTTAGTAGGCAGAAGGGAGCCTGGCGTTGGGACAGAGGGGCCAGTGTGAGCAGGGGAAGCAGGCCACCTGGGACAAGTGGGGCTCTCCAGGACTAGGAAGCAGGCCCTGAGTAGGAAGCTATATCAGCCATCTGATAGTAGTGGAGTAGGAGAAAGAATGTGGGCTTGGGCCAATGTGACCAATGGCTTTCTGGGTCTTCCAGGATTGTCACTTAGATGAGTGAGAAGATGCAGTTGCTCTTTCACTGCCACAGGCTGCATGGATAGAAGTGCTGCCTGTGGCTCGGTGCCTTTTACAACTCTCAGCCTCAGTTTCCTCATCTACAAAACAGTTGCTATGAGCTCATCCTGATGCATCTCTGGCAGAACCAAACAGCCTGAGCTGGTTTGAAACCCAGTGTGGCCTCATTTGTGTGTGCCCCTAATTTACCCATCTCTCAGTTTTCTGATCCATGAGCTAGGTAGAATCCCTCCCAGCTGCCTGCCTTATTCTGAAAATAATGTTATACAAAGAACTCCCACAATGCCTGGCTGAGCAGAGAAGCTGCTGTCATCACAGAATAAATAAGTGAAAAAGGGCTGTTGCTTCAACTTTACTCCCTCAGACCCTTGCTGCTGTCCCTCAGCATATGGTCCTGTCCCTGTACGTGGCTGTGGCCCGTGTACACACTGTGTACTGGGAATCATCTCTCGATTATGTGTACAGTCATGTGCCACTGAATGACAGGGACAGAGCAATTTTATCATCATGTGAACATTATGATATAACTACACAAATCGAGACGGGATGGCCTCCTTATACACTGAGGCGTGTGGTTCGTACTGCAGTACATGGGGTCCGCTGTTAACCAGAATGAGGTACGTGGTACACAACTGTGATAGTGACTGCAATGTATATGGTTATGCCAGATTGTGTAGGGAATAACAATGACAACAGAAATCTGCACTTGTTCAGTATAGACACAACCATCACAGGCCTCACTCTCATCTACAGTTGGTCAAATATGTGGATGTGGAACTTGAGGATATGACAGACAAATGTCACAGAGATAGTGGAGGCACCGACAGGCATGCCAGAGGGAGCTCCGGTAGGAGAAAGGGAGCTTAAGGCAGTCAGGCAAGAGTAGCGCTTGATACACGGAGGGACAGGTGATCCAGGTCCTCTCCTGGGCTCTGGACTGACCGTCAATGTGACCTTGTCCAGTAGCAGGCTGTAGCAGATTCCTTCAGCAGTCCCTTCTGCTCTGGCTGGCAGGAGAGACCCTCTGAGTTTGTCCACCAGCCACTTGCCTGGTACCATGCCATTGACAGGAGAGTGCTTGTGAGAAGGGAGGCTCATGTACCCAATTGCCCTCGGGGGTAGATGGTACATGGGGACAGCCCAGGGCTTTAATGCAGACGTGGCGCTTGTCCTGTCTCTCTCCCCCTCTCAGCCATAGGGCTCACCTAAGGCTGCATTCTTAGGGCAGGGTGAGCAGAGTCTCCAAGTCCTAGCCAGAGCACAGTGTGATTGTCACAGAACAAGGAAGAAATCAGAGTCACAGAGGTCAGGCAGGGACTCAGCCAGCATCAGCCAGCTGTGGTGGGGAGGCGCAAGTGGTGGCCAGGAGAGCAAGGGCACACAGAGGTACAGGCCAACCTGGGGCTTGCTGAGCCAGGAAGCCATGCAGGAGCCACGCAGGAGCCTCTGCAGCACTGCCGTCAGCTGCCAAGAGCACCAAGCCAGGGCATCCCCAGGGTGTACTCCAACATGTGTGGCTGGTCAAAACGCAAATGCTGCCTGGCGGAGCACAGGCCCTGGGCCAGCAGACAAGAACAGATGCCCCCAGCTTAGCAGCTCTTCTCTCACTCCTGTTCTGTCATCCACTACATAGAGTTCCTGCACCTACCACCATGCCTGTACAGTCACAAGGACCACGAGAGATCTGCACATAAGCAACTGCTGTACGCATTTGGTTAAATGCTAGCTCCTCTCCCTATTACTACCACATGGCTGTATTATCAACATATTCCGTTTTCTCAGGATTGTTGCATCTCACACTAGGATTCTGGGTCCACAAGGGACTGTTTCCAGCCTCCTGCCTAGAGCAGTGTCGGCGGGGCCTCAACAAACATATGCCGAGTGAACACAGGGCTGTGTGGTGGAAGAAGAGGTTTTATTTGCATGGTGACCCCGGCAAATTCCGCCTCCAGGTCTCTTCCCTCATCTGTTCAGTGGAGGGAATGCTGGCCTATTCTGGAGCTGGCTATTATTATCCTTATCAATAACAGCGGCGCATAACAGAGGCGCTGTGAGTCAGCACTGGGGCAGGTGCGCCGCACTCAGGAGTGGCTGTGGATTCCGTGCATGGCAAGCTGGAGCAGAACTATTCTAGTGGTGCACCAGAGGCCGGTAATCACACCCCAGGAAGGCGACAATAAAATCTGCACTTGGATAGGACTGGCTCCCCCTCTTCTTCTTTTTTTCCCTAGCTCCTCTCAAGCTCTCTCCACCAACTACAGCCAGATTTAGGCATCTTAATTAATTAGCTAGTGTTTATAAAGCGTTTGAAGAATTTTAAAAGTGCGACGTAAGTGCCAAATATTATTTTAATCTGAGTATGTGTGGTTTTTTCCCAGCAGAAAGCTTTTTGGTTTTTTCTTTGCTTGCTATCTTTTCTTTTTCTCTGCAGGTTCTGTTCTGGGAACTGGGCTTGTTAAAAATTGGCTCCCTCAGTCTGAGCCTGGGGTCACCACGCTGGCGCAGCTGATGAAACCATTTCCTGCTTTCCCTGGCCCAGCTGGAAGGGCGGCACCCGTGCAGGGGCCCGAGCCCGCCTGCTGGAGGACAGGGTGGCTGGTGCTGCCGCACTGGTGGAGAGGAGGCTGGGACAGTCTTTGGGGCAAACATTTGGCAGGAAGAGGAGGGCAGAGCCTGCACTGGGCTGTTTCCCAAGGAAACACCCCACGTATGGAGAAAGTCTCCATAAAGGTCTCAAAAAGTTGGGAAACAATCTAAATGCCCAGTGACCAGGATGGCTAAGTGAATGACAGCTTGTCTCTTACACAGAATTACAGGCAGCCACAAAAAACTGTTACAATGAACACTACAGTAATATGGACATTTTTCATGCTGTAATTTTAAATAACATGGTGGTTATGCAAACAAAACCTGTTCATTGCAAAGCATTTAGAAGAAACAAAAAAGTGTAAAAACAAAATAATAATCTCATATAATACCATCAAAGATAACTGCAATCAACATTTTGATGTGTTGTAGTTAAAATACAAGTGAATAAAAACAATGTAAAATCACACCTCTGAATATAAGAATACAGGCAAACATTTTACTTCATTCATTTAAAGGTTCTTCTAAAAATGAAAAATGTCCTAAATATCCAAGGAGAGGAGTAATATCTACTGTGGCGGATCCATCTCATGGCCAGATCCACAGTCGGAGAAGCTAAGGTGCAAAGCACAGCAGGAGCACTTGGCAAGGCAGAGGCGTGCGCTCAGCGTTAGAGTCACTGTGACCCCAAGCTTCTGGTTTTGGGGGATGTTAAAGATTAGTAGTGTGCCTAAGGAGAGTCACATGGAGAGAAAACTTTCTCTCAGGCTTCCACAGAGAGCCAATTGGTCAAGCATTGGTTATGACTAGTCTACAGGGCGGACACTGACAAAGGATCTGCAATCTGCGGTACAGGGTTACAGGACAAATCCTGCGGGGACTTGACTGACCTTATCAGATACAAAAGTTACATTTCTTGTTGCACAGGTCTTGCTTTATCTTGGTCTTAAACATCTAGCAGAAAAGTATAAAAATGAGGTATATAAAGTAAAGCCATATTAATATGCTAGGCTGCAAAAGGCTCTAGTCAACAACTTCTGCAGATAACCCCCTACTATTGTGGACTGCTGGACTGTGTTGGATTGTTTTGCTGAATTCAAGCACCTATAATATTTAGATGCCAATAGAATACCCATCTCTGACAGGACTGAACTGGAGAGGGGGGATACAGAGGAAGGACCATTTTGTATTTGTATATACAGAATAGTTAGGATAGATGTACGGCTGCTTTCGCTTGGTTCAGTGAGAGGAAGGATTTGTAGTGGTAGTATTTGGACAGGATGTCATGGCTGTTTCTTGTGCTGTGGATGACCGCTGAGAAGATAACAATGTGCAATGTATTAATTGCTGAAAATGCCCTATTAATCAGCTTGGAAAGTGTCTCATTGATATTTGTTACTCAATAAAAAAAAAATTAGCAGTGATCTCATTGGAATGGCAGATTTACACGGGATTGTGCTTTTATGTTTTCTGTTTGCATTACTTGTGCAAGGGAAGAATTGAAGGAAAATCTGTATTTTCATTATGATTGGGACTTTGTAAGACAAAACAAATCTATTTTTATTTATAAAAATAAATAAAACAACTGCACGGTACCACCCAAAGGTACAAAATGCAATTCTTTGGATTATGAATCTAAACTCATGGAGGCTGTCTCTATCTCTATCTTTGGGTCTTTTTCCTATTTTCTAAACTAGATGAACATTAAAGAACACATCTAGTATCTTGGGCTAGGGATATAGCTCAATGGTAAAGTGCTTGCCTAGCACGCACAAGGCCCTGGTTGGATTGGATGGCCAGCAGCATGAAAAGACACACACCCCACAAAATACATACAGTATCTTATGGATATTACATGTTTATTGTTCTAACGAACCTCCCCCTGGGGATTTTTGTT